GGCGACTGACCCAAACTGGTTGGTCTCGTCAGTCTAGTTTTTATCGGCCGACGAGACCAATGACTCAGAAACCAAGTTTGCGGTTATCTGTCTGCACGGAGCGTAATCAGAATATTGAATCGGTTGTTAATGACAACGATACGAATAGTGATAACTCAGAGATTAATTATCCAATACGTGTTGTATGTGTTCGAAAACAGGATCCACGAGTGTCGTCGCTGGGATCACGTGGAATGACTAATCAGACGCTGACAACACAGCATTCACAGCCAACAATGGCGGCCGATACGCAGTCTGTACATCGGGAAGAAAGCAACATGTCCTCCATGACAGAACTTGTAGTGAGGGATTTACAAGATGCACTCAGTAAACTGTAAGTTGAAATGTACTACACCCACACTGCGCCCTCTGGTGTCAGAGTTATATTTTCAGAACATAATTTGCTGTTACAAAATTTTCTTGGATATACTGTAAAATAATTTATTTTTGCTTGAAATTAATTTTGCTATTTTCGCTGAAAAAATGATTCAGTGGAAATGAAATCCACCGAATATATCTTTTTTTTCTATATTTTACATTCAACTCATCAAAACTCAGTGAAAATAAATTCCATACAAAACAGCCTAAGTCTTTTCAGCAAAAATAAATTCCAGCTAAAAATAAAGTATTTTACAGTATTTGCTCAGCCTCTTTTCTTCCTGTAAAAGTTGCCAACTATTGAAATATTGTAAAATAGTCCTTTATGTTTTTCTTGCCAAAAAAACTTTTTGTTGAACTGAACAGACAAAAAAAGTTATTATTTGTGAATATTGGTTTTTAAATTTGTTATGGAACTAGCCGATTTTTGTCTTATAAAAAAATTTGTTGCCACTTCCGACAACATAGTCCCTTTCATATTTTGTTCAAAATAAATTCTGTCATTTTTTTTAGGAAAATGGCACCCTCTTATGTGGAGTTGGTAAAGGATTCCATATTATGATTATTCATGTAAATACATTTACCTTTTTTTTAGAAAAGTATTTTATATTTATAGCGTTGCACCTTGTGTTTATGATTTTGTCATTTCAGTAAAGATGAGAAGAAACGAGACAAAAAGGAATACGAAGAACAGTTGAAGTAAGTGTTTGAAGTAATTGACACTAATTAACATATTGTAAACCAAGGGTTTATAAGATAAGGGTAAGCAAGGGGTGTGATATAAGATGAAGATCTCGCGAGAATTGATGAAATCACATGAATTGTGAGATGATCACGAAATCCCAAGAGAAACCCACATTTCTAGAAATTTGATTGCAAATTAGTGAATCTAGGAAAGAACTGATGTGATATAAAGAAGTGGAAAAATAATGCCCTGAAAACCCAAAATGTCATCCTGCAATCTTTCAAACCCTCCATAAAAATAATTTTGAAAGTTACATGTGTATATATGCTACGAATCCACGAAGCTACCAGTAGTTATTTTTTTGGCCTGGTCTTACAAAAATTTTCTATACAGTGCTCAGAAACATGAGTTGTTATTTTTTGCACAATATAAAAATAATATAAGGTTATTACGAAGATACCTCAAAGTATGCACGAAGACAGTACAGTGGCAGTATTGACTGACGCGCAGCGGAGGTCGATCGACAACGTACTGTCTGAGTGCATACTTTGATGTATCCTCGTAATAACCTTATTATTATACATCTTTTCCTACCATGGATACATCATGGGAATGCCGAAATCTAAAAAATTTAGAACAGAATCAGCGAACTTCTTTGTATGGAGTCCAGTCAAACCCTGGTGGCAGCCATGTTTGTTTTTATTATTAGAGGACGCTTACGCGCATAATCATTCCATATTTGGAATTCACATTTCCTAATATGATAGGATGACAATACCCCGTAAAATATCGCAAAATTACGGCACGCTGTAACTTATGGCGTTATGGTGACAGATGTATAATAATATTATAATTATAGCCATGTTTGAAATGTTTTTTAATTGTTTTTTTTTAGTCATAATGCTGTTGTTATGATGGAGATGCAGGATATGATAACTGAACTGCAACGTGAATTGAACGCAGCTGCCGCAACCTCTGGACGTTATGGTTCAAACTTACCAAGCCGTGAGCAAGATTCGGCCATTATGTTCACACGATTGGACTGGGAACGTAACCAGCGTGCTCTTAAGAAAGGCGTGGCATCTGAGAAAGTACAGAGTGAGGTTTACAACAATGCAGTGGACGCAATGGAGCAGTACGTTGATTTGCCGTCACAGCGATTGGTTCATCTCGTAAAAAAATATACGCACCATGTACAGATGAAACAAATAGAAGGTATGCGTAAATGAGATTACTATTGCACATATTTGGGCTTTCTGTGAATAAATATTATAACGTGTTTAATTTTTGCTCATCTTACCAGAGAAATTAAACGAAATTGTTCACCACCAAACTTTTTCGCCCAAATTTTTCTGCACTTTTTTTCTTATATTCCTTAATATTTCTGGAAATGAATCCTAATTTTGAAGTCAGCTAACAAAATTTGATTCAATTTTCAGTTCTTACTCAAAAAATTTGGCTATTTTTTTCAGCGCAGCGTCCTGTCTGAGTGCATACTTTGCGGTATATTCCTAATAACCTTATTATTATAAAATCTTTTCCTTCCAAGGATAAATCAATGCCGAAATCCAAAAAGTTTTGAACAGAATCAGCAAACTTTTTTGTGTGGAGTCCGGTCAAACTGGTGGCAGTGGCAGCCATGTTTGTTTTTATTATTAGCGGACGCTTACACACGTAATCATTCCATAATTGGAAGTTGCATTTCCTTATATGGTAGGATGAAAATACCCCGTAAAATACCGCAAAATTATTGAACGCTGTAACTTACGGCGTTACGATGACAGATGTATAATAATAGCATATATCACTAATGTATCCAACAGATCATTCCTGTAAAAGGCGCCCTTTAGCGTCAAAGTGCTTCTGTAGCATATATTGGTGTATTAACAAACACCATATCACTGTGCATCATTATTGTTTCAATCAGTAATAAAAAATATTTATTTTTTTAGACATTTTCTAAATTCTAAATGATAAACAACTTATTTCATCCAATCTACGTCATTTTGATGGTACAGTAGAAATTCATCAATCACAAGTCATTGGAAATGTGAATTGAGTGTCATTCCTTTATGACACCTTACCCCCGGAACACCATGTTCTAGAAACAAAACATCATGGCCCTCGGACGGCATACTCTATGATGCCATATACCTCATGGACATCTTGCCCTGGTATGTCATATTTCCCAGGAATGTCATTCCCAAGATATCATGCTTGTTTTAACTTTGTAACATCAGTAATCGTCAATATTTTTGTTCCGTTTTTTTTTTTTCCAGAGGGCGTACGTCAGAGTCAGAACTTAGATGACGATGTGTTTAATTTATTGGACAAAATGGAGGCATTACAAAACACAGTAAGTGGTAAAAGTTGTAAAACATATTAAACTGACATTCCTCAATCCCTGGGATTGCAGCATAGAATTATGGGAATCCAAGTTCAAAGTTCATTAATTCATTAGATGTATTTACTATGAAATGAAGGTCATTACAGTTTAAATTTATTCACTGAAAACTATCGTAATCTGAATTGAACAACAACACATTTAAAGAGCGGCAGTCTTGCCGCGTCCTGTTCGATATGGGACTCAAAGCGACGTATACAAGGCGTGTAAAATACATTGTATGTTTACATGAAATTCGAACGTGCGCTGGGCGACGACCACCGCGCTTTCACCTTTTAAAAGCATTGGTCAACTTTTGTCATAGAATGGATCAAAATCAGCAGACGATGGGGAATAATATGTACAAATAGCTCAAAATTAAAACATAAATTAAGGCAGGGAAAAAAAATCCTCTATTTCTTGTTTCATAGAAATTTTGAAATGAGGTGGCGAGGCATTTTTTTTTTTTTTGAATACTGAGCTAAAATGGGGAAATTTGAGAATTTTGGAATGTTTTAGAAAAAAAACAAACGTCTGAGGCGCATAGTTCAAAATGATGCGCACGGAAACGAGAAACAGAGATATTTTTTTTTCTCAACCTTACAGAAAAATATTAAAATAATTGTCTATTGGTATTATATATTTTCGATTTGTCTATTTAACTTTTTATTGATAAAATCTACACATATACAACGTACATTTGTAACTGTGGCATGCAATATCTGCTGTAATATTTGTAGTCCTGCTATCTAATTTGGGACGTAAAAACCAATAAAAACAACTGTACCAGAACTTGTTGAGAACCTTTGACAGCAACACTTGAAAAGAAACAATCTTTTTTTACACAGGCCTTTCAATGTCCATTATTCTCACTGCTAGATGTATTGTTGATTTAAAAAATGAAAATGAAATAACAATAACAAAATTAAATGTCCCTGAAAATATGATAAAAAATTTTGTTGCATAAATATTGCCTTTTCTTAATCTGACCGCCATTTTGTTTTCACCAGAGAGCACAGCGATGGAACGACAGAATGGATGAAATGGGAGAAGAAAGATTACGACTAGCGCATATACTCATGGATACTCTCTCAATGATAGAGGAAGAATCCGGAATATTTCTAATCAAACCTATTTATTCATGGAAAGGAAAGTAAGTTGACTTTTCCTCACTTTTTTTAATTATTATTTTTGACTATGATATCAGCGTTCAGGAGCGCTCGTCGAAATTACAAGATCTTTCTAAAAATAGAACTCATATACTGTAAAATACTTTATTTTCACTTTTTCATTAAATGATTTATTCAGTGTAAATAAAATCCAGCGAATATACATTTTTCCTATATGTTACATTCAACTCATCAAAAATCAGTGAAAATTACTTCCATAAAAATACCAAAAAAGTTATTTTAGAGAAATTAGTTCCAGCTAAAATAAAATATTTTATAGTAATCATAAAGGGCTGTTTAGCGTATGAAAGATTCAATTTCAATTCAATTTTTATTGAAAAGACTTTTTGGGTGTTTTGTTTGGAGTTTGTTTTCACTGATTTTTTTCCACAAATTTAAAAGAACAGCAAAAAATGGCACATCTAAATGCCTTGTTGAAATTTAATGAGTGTAAAATAAGAATCAGAGCTATCCCCACTGTTTTGAATTGATATATTCTGTCGTTCAATATTGACAGTTTGATTGTTGTCATTGCAAGTTAAAATTTGACTTACGGAATTTTCAATTTTTCAATTTCATTTCTAGGGGGTATCTTTCCAAGTATACAGGTAAGCTGAGTAACAATTATAGACCCCCGAAAATGATTAGTAGGACAATGACCCCACTTCGTGAGGGCACACCTATGAATACGGTACCAGCACCAACGCCAGCGTCCATCCATGCTAGCAAGTCTACTCAGAGACCATCCACTCGGGTATGAAGATGTTTTTTTTTTAATTTCTGCAAACTAGAATGATATTATGTTAAATTATTTTTAAAAAAAGTTTTTTTTGGAGCTTATGACCTTGATTTGTCTTTCTGCATTTTTGTTGCTTAAGTTTTAACTATTTCAGTTTTAAAAAAATACTCCTGTTTTAATATTTTATAGTTAAACTCAACTATCCAGTAGTGATGTCATACTTTTAGGTCAAGTTGAATAATATATTCATGGGGAAATCACAAATAATAATTTTGAGTTAGTCGGAACCTGCCACTAGAGGGCGTAATCACAAAAAGGACATTACATACAAGTACAACATGTATCGTTGGTTTGATAAAATTTTTTTTTTTTTACATTTAATTATTCTGTTTTCAGCAACTAGGAGGAGGTGATGGTCCGGGTGAGTATGATGAAGTAGAAGTTCCGATGCAAGGAATGGGGATGATGTCAGGACAGTCGTCAGAACCCATGTGGGCTATGACATCATCACAAGTAGATCCAGCAACATCCAATAAAATTGCAGCTAACATGCTCACAACACCCAGACTACTTGAATTGGATGTAAACCGAATGCTGATTGGTCAAAACACCATCAGGTTAGTTAAGGTTTTGTTGAATGTACATAATTGAATAAGCATGAATTTTATATTTTTGAAGTAAATCATATTTTATATTTTTTGAAGTAAATCATATTTTATATTTTTTGAAGTAAATCATATTTTATATTTTTGAAGTAAATCATATTTTATATTTTTTGAAGTAAATCATATTTTATAACCAAAAAACTCTCATGTGGTCGGTCATTGTGTGCTTCAGATAAAACAGTTTGTGTTTTGTTTTGTTAGACTTTTAAAAAAATGAAAGAAAAAATGTAATTGATTTTTAATGCAATTTAAAAATAAAAATTAATAACTGCAAACATTTTTTTAAGGAAATCAAATTTTTCAATTGTAACCGGGAAGTCCAGTAAACCATTGGGGGCAACATCTGGTACATACACCATGACTTACTTTTGTATGTTTGTACATGTAGTGTTACACCAAACTTTGAGCTACAAATCCTAGGTCTGAGTTTGGGTTGATATCAGTTTATAATAAATAAATATATAAATTTTCCATACAACACCCAATTTGTTTCTCATAATTACAATTCAGACACCCCTTGTACACCTTTTATTTTTTTTGAATAAAAATATTACCATTGAATGGCACATCTTGCGTTCTTGTTGCGTAATCTATTGTTTTATCATTTTTTTTGTTTCTCAGTGCTAATATCAAACCGTCCTACAGTGATGACAGACTAGTAAATGCCTCCAATACCAATCTCCGCTCGTACATGACAATCGCTAGACCATCAGCCAATCCGTCTCCTAATACCAAACCTAGAAGACCACACTCAACACCAGGTAAGTCAAAGGGTGAGCTGTCATTCCCTGGAAGTGCACTACGGCATTGTGGGAAACTTTTGACTCCACTTTTGCCAAATTAATTTAAAGCTGAAGAAAGGCGAATCGCAAAACCCCAATTTCCTTTGTAACATTGCGCCCTCTGTAGTTGTATTTTCACTAGGATTGAGATCCTCATATACCGGTATATATGCTACTGTACAATACTTTATTTTAGCTGGAATTAATTTTCGCTGAAAAGACATTTTAGGTGTTTTGTATGGAATTTATTTTCATTGATTTTTGACAAGTTGAATGTAAAATATAGCAAAAAAGGTTTATTTACTAGATTTTATTTTCACTGAATCATTCCTTCAGCGAAAATAGCAAAAATTAATTCCAAGCGAAAATAAAGTATTTTACAGTATTTTATGCCCAGTGGTTAAAGGGGACATATGCGATAGTTTTGTCCATAAATGTTATTGTTTTTGGAGTAAGATGTATATAATAATACCAGTTATGTTAATGACTATTATTTTTTGTTATAGGTGGGGTAACAGAAGTACAGACACCGCCATCCACACCGTACTTACAACCGAGCAGTGCGGGTCACGGGAGTCGGTTGAGGAGTAAAAGCATGGAAGGCTTTGCTCAATCACAGCCCTTGCCTCCGATAAAAGTTCCATCACAAGAGGGCGGTCTTCGACGGCCCCATGCCAAGTCAAGTGCTAGCAGCGGACGGAGTAAGTCAGTCTCCATTGCTCCTTCCCCTATCGGTAAGTACAATGAATAATAATTATTTGAATACTCAGAATAATTTTTAACATCATAATTCTTCCTCCTTTCCTCTGCTGGTGTTGTGCCTTTTTTCTTTTACAAATTTTATTTAATTGGCTATAGTTCTCGGTCAGAATTTTCAAAAAAAGTACATCTTGATTCAAAAATTTTGAAAAATTCTGAATAAAATTGTGCATTTTTATTTTGTGAAATGAGAAGGAGGCTGACATTGTTGTCTTCAAAGAATGAAATATACTATAAACAGTATTAAAAAATTCGTTGCTAGAAAATGTTCATAATTTAACACTTCAAGTGTGTGTTAAGACGAAGACTTAAATAAAATGTTGAATTTACCAAAGTCACAATTCATAAAAATACTGTAAAGGGGTTAATTATTTCACTGGGTTTTAATTTTGCTTTATTTCGCTGACTGGAAAATGCGCTAAATTAAAACCCAGTGAATATGTAAAATTTAGCATAGAACACATTATCTAAATGACGAAACCGTGAATTTAAAACCACTGAATATGCCTGAAATGGTAAATCAGTGAAATTTAAACCCAGTGAAAATTAGTCATTTTACAGTAACCCGCATAATGTTTATCATAATTTATAATAATTTATCATAATTGAAAAGAAAAAAAATATTTTGATCAGGATCAGTGGATGATTGGAAATTATTCTCATTAAGAAATTTTTGTTAAAATACATGAAAACACGTTTGTTGCGTGCAGTTCACAGTTCCTGCAAATTGCGCCCTCTAGTGTTCTGTTCTGTGATGTCAAAATGGTGAATATGCCTTTCATGCAGTGTCAATTTCATTATCATTCACAAAATAAAACCTGCATATTTTTTCAAAAATTTAAATCAATACCTGTCATCAATGGGGAATTATGTCCGTTTGGTCCCAAATTAATGTGAAAAAGTACATAAAATGCAAAATGTTGCAACCAATTTTGACGGTCAATGGATAAATTTTCTCATCTTTGTCTTTTCTCATCAGAAACCCCAATTACACCGGTACATCAAGCATCACCACCGAACACTCCTCCTGGATCTTCCGTAGAACCGACACCGTTGCCAACAGATACACCAATTGGTCACATCACAAAGGTCGTTGCAAGGTCACCATCGCAGTCAACTACTCACAGTTTTACAGCGGTGGAAGCCGAATCATAAAACATCAGAAATTTCTCTTAAATACTGTGAACTGCTTTAATTTCACACAAGAAAAATTTCGAGAATTACTGAAA